TTGCTGCTCCTATATTGGGTGCATATATGTTTATCAAGGTTATATCTTCCTGTTGGATAGATCCTTTCAATATTATGTAGTGGCCTTCTTTGTCTCTAGTTATGGCCTTCATTTTGAAATCTATCTTATCAGATGTGAGTATTGCTACCCCAGCTTTTTTTTCCTTTTATTTTTTTTTTTGCTTGGAAGATTTTTTTTTTTCATCCTTTCACTTTCAACTTATGTGAGTCTTTTGTTGTGAGGTGGGTCTCTTGTAAACAACATATAGTTGAGTTATGCTTTCTTATCCAATCAGCTACTCTTTGTCTTTCTATGGGAGCATTCAATCCATTTACATTTAAGGTGATTATTGATATGTACTTATTTATTGTCAGTTTTGTTCAGTTTATTTATATTTTTCTTCTTATTTTTCCTGCGAATTACAGCAGTCCTTTTAATATTTCTTGCAGTGCTGATTTGGTGCTAACATATTCCCTTAGCCTTTATTTTTTTTTTTGGTCTGGGAAGCTCTTTACTTGACCTATTTTGAATGATAGCCTTGCTGGGTAGAGTAGTCTTGGATTCAGATTCTTGTTTTTCATGACCTTGATTACCTTATGCAATTCCCTTCTGGCCTGCAATGTTTCTGTGGAGAAGAAGTCAGCTGAAAGCCTTATGGGGTTTCCTTTATAGGTAACATGTTGCTGCTCTCTTGCTGATTTTAGGATTCTTTCTTTGCCTTTAATTTTTGGCATTTTGATTACCATGTGTCTTGGTGTGGGCCTGTTTGGGTTCTTCTTACTTGGGGCTCTCTGTGCTTCTTGAACTTGAATGCCTTCTTTCTTCACCAAGTTAGGAAAGTTTTTTTTCACTATTTTTTCAAATATATTCTCTAACCCTTGCTTAATTCCATTTGATTTATCTCTTTTCCTGTAGAATTCTCTTGTTCTTTCCTTTGAGACTTGTTTCTTTGTTTCACCATTTTGGCTGCCTCAGTGGGTTTTGGAGTCTGCCAAATTTTTCCTGTGAGTATTGGTGTTCTGCTGGTTGTGGCGCCCTCTACTGTGTGTGGAAGAGTGTGAGAGGATCCATTTTAAACACCACTGTCCAGTCTTACTTTACTGGGTAGATTTTAAGGCCATCAAAAACTTCTGTTATTCTTTAGCTTTTGCCTGGAATCTACTAATCTCAGTTCCTTGATGGCCCTAGATTTATAGTCCTCAGCTGAATGAAAAATCCCTCATGTGTAAGAGGATGTCCTGTGGCAATTGCTTGCTGGCAGTCTCTATCTGTTAAGGAGCCTCAATTGACATTTCTCGGGCCTGGACTGTTGGTGTTCAATTTCTGAGGGAGGGGATGTTGCTTTTCCCAGGGGCCCTGGAAATGGTCTTTTTGAGTAATATGACTACTGTCCTATGAAGGAGTGATTCAGTACAAAACTCCTGGTGTCTCTCCCTCAGCCTCTCTCCTGAGCCAGGAGCCTTGGCCTCTCTCAACATAGTTGCAGTCCAGTCTGCTGTCCGTCTGAGCCCAAGGTGAGTGGTTATATCTGATTTGGTTCTTTTTAAAACTCCCACTTTCTCATCAGAGACCATTCACACCTAAAGCAGCCCTCCTGTCTGGCTTCCCAGCCTGCCCTCTCATCCCTCTGCTGGACCTACCGGGCTTGATTTGGCATCCTCTTTCTGTCCCTAGTTATACGGCTTCTCTCCAGCTGCTTCTCAGTTGCGTTTTCCTGATGATTTGTCTTTATTTTAGTTGTAATTGCAATCTGGTCCTCAGAGACAGTCTGTGTAACTTGCATTCACTCCATCGCCATTTTTCCTCCTCTCCTACACCATTTTTTATACAAGTTACAATACTGCAGATACCAATTCTTTCTAATTTAATTGACAAACTCCTTACCATCTCAGTTAAAATGTGATCAATATGATAGCAATGGTCAAATGGAAAAATATATATGGAGTATAGGCAGCAACAAATTGCCAAAGTTATGTAATTAATTGGAATATGTCTTAGTAAATATAAATTAAATAATAACTATATAGGAAGGCTGATCAATGAAATATAATTAAGAGTTAAGAAAAGATTTAAGAAGCTCTAAGGAAATTTAGTTCATGGTAAAGTAGAAATTTAATGATAAAGACAGCAATAAATGACTTTTAATTCTTTTTATTTTTATTAAATTTATTGGGGTGACATTGATAAGTAAGAGTATATAGGTTTCAGGTGTACTTTTCTATAATACCTGATTTTACATTGCATTTTGTCAAATCATCATCCATCAGCATATATTTGACCCACTCTACTCTTTACTATCCCCTCTCTCCCTTTCATCTGTTGACCACTGTACTGTTGTCTGTGTCTATGAGTTATTTCTAATTTATTTTCCTTGTTTGCTCATTTGTTGTTTTTAGATTTATATCCAACATGTGAGTGAATTAAGTTTTGAAATTAAATTTATTGGGGAGACATTAACCAAGTATTGGTTAATAACATATGTTTTCACTGTAAAATTTTATAATGCATCATGTACATATTGCTTTGTGTGCTCAGCAAATTCTAGTCTCCTTCCATTATCATGCGTTTTTCCCCCTTTACCTTTTTTTGTCTTGCTCCAATCCCGCATCCCCTCTGGTAACCACTATACTGTTGTCTGTGTCTGGAGTTTGTTTTCTCACCTGTTGCTTTCCCTTTTATATCCCAAATATGTGTGAAGTCATAGGGATTTTGTCCTTTTGCATCTGACTTATTGCACATAGCATGATATTCTCAAGGTCCATCCATGTTATCGCAAATGACAGTATTTCATCCTTTCTTACGGCTGAGTAATATTCCATTGTAGAAAAGTATCACATCTGTATCCAATCGTCCGATGAAAGACACTTAGGTTGTTCCCATGTCTTGGCTGAACCAGTTAGTGCCTTGGTCTTGGACTTCCTAGATGCCAGTACTGTGGGAAACAAATGTCTGGTGTCTTTTTAGCCGCACAGTCTATTTTGTAATGAAGGCGAAGCTGAATAAGACACCTGCTTTGACATCCCATGTCATCATGCTATTCTAGTACCAGTTCCGTGTTGGGGTCTGACCCTGCCTGGGCAGGTTCTATGACCTCCAGGTTCTTGACTTGTGCAGGAAATATTTGAAGTACGCACCAGAGTGAGAGTCTTAGTGAGATCAAAAGCAAGTTTTATTCAGATAGAGACAGAGAGGCTGAGAATGCAGCAAAAGTACACGTCCAAGTGGAAACAGGCCAACTTTGGAGCAGTCAGTCAGTTCTCAGGATTTTTTTGTGTTTCTAAGGGTGGTTTGTTTCTGAACTTTGTGGTGCCAAATTCTGATTCTGTCTTGTGGTTGAAGATATTGTTCTTAATATGGTCCCTCCCAGAAAGGTCATTTGTTTATTCCCCTTGAAAGTGGGGTGCTCTTCTACCTGTGTTGTCAGTATAATGATGGAATAGTAAACTTTGGGGTGGGTCTCTGGTCAAATTTTTATCCACCTTGGAATAATCTGGTTTTATCAAATCTTTGTTGTTGTTGACTTCTGCAGCCAACACAAGGGTTTCCAGTCATGAACTATTTCCCTTTGGTCATTCATGGAGGTGGGACTCTGATGTGAGCACCTAGCAGCTTATCTGCCCTGTGATGTCCACTCTTCCTTCCTCATTCCACTTGCCAGGAGTTTTCCCTAAGTTTTTTCTATCTTGTGTCAGTGACACATCATTGCATCTATGTCACAGAAATGCTGATATATGTGTGGAACATGTTTGTGCAAAGATGTTTGTTAAAGCACTGTTCAGACTTATGGGAATTTTGGATAAAAGCCCTACATGTCCATTAACAGAGTAGTGTTGAAATAAATTGCAGTACATCCATACTATGAAACACTATGCAGCCAAAGGTGCCCCACCCTACAGATTTCTCAATTTTTTTGAACCACAAGGTTACCTAGCTATTAAGATATGTTCTTTCCATGGTAATGACAGAAGTACAAGAGGGGTAATCATGATACTTCCTGAGATCTAGGATAAAATCAGCACGTCATTACTGTTGCCCAGAAGAAACCATGGGAAACACAATACATTTCAATCATGGTAGAGACATAACTAAAGACAAAGAGAAAAAATAACTATAATTGTGGTAAAGATTGGCTTTATGCAAAATGATGTTTTTAGTTTTCAGTCCAGTAGTCATAATATCTGCTTTCTTATTATCTTTGTAAACATTTTTTTAGGACATAAGTTTACCCTCAGCTCTGTTCCAAGATTATTTTGCCCTGTTTTAACATTTCGATGGTGTGAGGCAAATGATAGGCAAAGCGTCTCCATTTTATTTAATTTTATTTATTTAAAATTAAATTTTATTATTGTTGAAAGTATTTCAGTTTCCCCCTTTTTCCTCATTGACCTCCTCCTTCCTGATCCCACTCCCCTCCTGCCTTCCCCAGCCTAGTGTCTGTGTGGATTGGTTCCATTTTAAAGTGGTCCATTGATATTATTTTTGACAACTATATGACCCTTCACAGAAGAGCTTTCCAACACTGCCTGTTGCCTGTTTTTCACCCTCTGACCATTTGACTAGCGGGTTGTGAGTGGCCTTTTGGAATATAGGCTTTCAGTTATTTTCTGGCCTAGATGCTTCCCATTCATCTCTATGTTTAGCCCTCAAAATCCCAGGAGGGAGGGGATGCTACTTGAAGTTTTAGAGATGAGAAACTGAGGCTCAGAGGTAGAGGCACCAGAAAGGTGGGGCCAGAGCTTTGGAACCTGGAATTCAGCTCCCCTACCCCCACAATCACCTCTTCAATGACTCATCTCCTAGCAACCCCACTGTCCCCCTTGGCCTTCACTGGTGGGAGTCTTCAAAGGGCTGGCCAAGTTGTGCATGCTGATTGGTGGGCTGTGGTGCTCTGTGTACTGCAGTCGCCTTTATGGAGATTTGCACCTATTCCTGAAAGTTTCAAGGTCTGGAGGCAGTTAGGGTCAAGTCTTAGCCATCCAGCTGCCAAATTCTCTACAGACATGACCTCCCCTCACAGTAATGAGGTGACTATTCCAGAGATTGTCTTGGCCCAGGGCATAGGGAGGATAGTGATTGGGATGAAGACACCATGGGTGGGGTTTTCTAGGTGTGGGGGCGGACACCCTGAGGTGTTGGGACTAGGGTGTTGGAGGAGATGGTCTGGCTGAGAGGTTTCTCATGGGGTGGCAGGAAAAATGCAGCCTGGGTGGTGAGTGCTCTGGATGAAGGGACTGCAAAGTGGTGAGGGCAGGGTGGCCTGGGTGGTCCACTGGAAAAATGAGGTGAACAGGCCTGGCTGAGGGGTCTGGAAAAGGCTGGGACTGGGGAAACTAAGAGAGAGTGACTAAAATAGATTTGAATATTACTGTGTGTCTACAGGGGCTGACTTCATCTAACCTGCCACCCTCAGACCCAGAGCCCTCTGACATTTCATCAGATGAGTTCCCTGAGACACAACTTATGAGTGTAAGCATTGTCTTCAAAGAAGGAGGCCAAATCAAGTCCAGTAGCTACAATAATTCAGGAGACACATCCAGACAGGACATCCTTGGTGGGCCAGTTGCTTTGCTGTCCACTGTACCTCCCACATTAGCTGCAACCACACAAAGGGAGTTTGCTGGAGAATTGGATATCTCTTCTCCCAACAAGTCCTCAGCTAAGAAAATGCCATGTCTGATCAGCAAGAAGAAAGTGGACAGGTCCAGTCACATGCCTCGGGCCACACCTAGGGAGAAAGAGCTTCAGGAGAAGAAATCTCCCACTGGCTGTGTCTCAAAAGTTGTCCTGGGGAGAAAATCCCAGGCCTATATCTCGGGAGGTCCCCTGGCACCCGCAACCTTCCCTCCTATCTCTGGCCGTCCAGAGATTGGGATTGCTGAGAAATGTTCCTTGGTCCCTTCGGGAACCAAACAGTCCAAGCACAACTGCAGGAAGAATCCAGTGCTGAGTAGGATGAGGAAGTCCGAACGGGTGGACCTAGAAGATACCAACCCAAATAAAGAGCCAGCCCCAAAGGGCCAAGTGAGTAGTCCATCTTCCTCTTTCCCTTCCCCATCTGTGCCCCCAACACAAACAGCTTTTCCCCTGCTCCTTCTCTCTTTTGAGATTCCTTTTTTTTTTTTAAATTTTTTATTTATCAATTTGTTTTTGTTACAAAGGTTTCTCATTTTCGCCCATTGACACCCTCATCCCGTATCCCCAGCTGGGTTGTCTATCTCCATTGGTCATGCATACATGCATGTAAGTTCAGTGGTTATCTCTTCTCCTCCCTACCCTCCTCCTCTAAGGCTTGTCAGTCTGCACACCACCTCTAGGTCTCTGGGTTAATTTTGTTCAGCAGTTTGTTTAGGTCATTATATTCCACAAATAAGTGAGATCAAGTACTATTTGTCTTTCTCTGCTTGGCGTGTTTCGCTGAGCCTAGTACTCTCCAGGTCATTCCATGCCATCTCAAAGGATAAGAGATCTTTCATTCTTACAGCTGCATGGTATTCCATTGTGTACAATTCCTTTGAGGTTCTTATTAGGATGCCAAGTTTGGGTCATTTTAATAGGATCAAATGTTTAATACGTGTTACGTGCTGTTTAGGCCTCTTCCCCAGAGAGGGGTTGGGGAAGGAGTAGGGGTTGAGAAGGAAAATGATGGGCTTGAATGGTGGTGGAAAGGAGGGGTCCCTGATTAGGATTTTACTTCTCATCTATTTCCTGCCTGACCCCAGCCCCTTCTCTCCCCCCCCCCCCGCCCTTAACCAGTGTAACCAGCCAGAAATTTATTTTTAGCTTCCAGCCTACAGACCAGGCCCATTTTGCCTGTCCATGTATGTTGGAAGATACAGCAGTGGAGACCCCAAGATCAAATCCTTTCCAGCTCCAGGACATTCACCGCTTTTGACCATGGCCCAGGAAAGAGTCAGGCTCAGTGAGCCATCACCCACAGGTGATTTTAGAGCATTTTGTTTATGGGGAGGGGGATTCGGAGAGAAAACTCTGGCTCTGGTACTCTCAGGACCTCAGTCTTGCTCCCAGCCCTCTCTGCCTACCCATACAGTTCTCCCATAGGAAACTGTGTAAATAGGGCTGGGCTGAAGCCTTGCCTCCTGAGAAGGCCACCCTGGAGAGAAGGGCAGAAATGCTGGACAGAGCAGAGTCAACTTGTTCACAGAGAGGGGGCTGACTCACTGTAGATCCTGCTGGGCCCTTCCTGCCTCTCGCCTAGGCTTGGGGCCTGCATTTGGTGTTCTCCTTCAGGTGACCAGGGGCCACTTCTCCATCCATCACAGCATGAAAAGCAGCAGCCACCACCTGGAGCACAGGACTGCCCTCAAGTAATGCTGTCTAGTCTGGGCAGCAGGGTCTATGTCCAGGTTAAACAGACTTTTGCCCTCCCCCCTCCCACCACCATGGAGGGAGGCTACCTGCTTCCCAGTAAAGACCCCATTTCAGTCTAGCCACTGGGCTTTGGGATGTGGGGTAGGCGCCAGAGAGGGTGTGAGGAGAGAAAGGAGGCAAAAATATACTGACAATTTCTTTCTCCCCTGTTTGCTGGGTTAGTGTGCAGTGCTGCAGAGAGAAATCGACAGTCTTAAAAGTCAACTTGGTATGACCAACGCCTCGCTGGGGCAGGGAAAGACCAGGGCATCTTCAGGCTGAACATGGGGTGGTGTGGGGCTGCGTGTGTAGGGGAATGCCCAGGCCTCACAACCTGTGGGGAGGGGAGTGACAGGCCTGGGCCTGGGAACTTCTGTGCTCCTCTCGCTCTCATTTCTCTCTCTCATCTTTCTATCATGTCTCTGCATAGAAATATACTGTTTGAGTCACACTTTACCACATTGTCACCAAGTCCTAGAACTCTTCTTATTTCAGTTCATTTGGAGTTACCACATGTGTTTTCTCTTTAACTGCTGCTTGGCATGGATTGTATATATCCTCACCAGTTCTGCATGATTCTGATTGATATACACCAAATTTTGGATCCCATTTAGGAAACATGTCTACATTTTACTTGAGTGACGGGTGGTTTAGTTCTGGGGCTGAATACCACCAAGTTTGGTAGGGGTTTAGGTTGCAGGGTTAGGCCTCTCCCAAGAGGACAAGGGGTGAGGCTCTGTTTCCCTGATCCTGAGTGTCTGATTATGCCTTTTTCTGTTTCAGTGGCCATGCAGTGCCTCATCGACAAGTTTCAGGCCCCTTGACATGAGTGATCCATCCCCCTTCCCAGTCTCAATCTGGGAGGGCTGGGGGCTGGCCCTGGCTGGAGGCTCCTCTTTGACTCTGCTCCCTTTTTCAGGTTGAACACAGTATCACCCCTCCCCCCTCACACAGAAAAAGTTGTACTTGTTGAATCCAAGGCCTACAGTCACACGGGTTCCCCCATTCTCCTTGCCCACTTCACATCAGAAGGGCCCACTGTGCCCTACCAGGGCTTCCCACCTTCCTGAGGTTTAGCACAACCTTTGTCCCGTTTGTTGCAGTTTTATTATTTCTATCTTTGTATTTTCAATCCTCACCTGAGGATGTCCCTATTGATTTTAGAGAGAGAGAAGGGAGGGTGGGGAGAAAAAGAGGGAGAGACAGAGAGAGAAAGAGAGAGAGAGAGAGAGAGAGAGAAACATTGACATGAGAAAGATCATCGATTGGTTGCCTTTCGTAGGGGCCCCAAATGGGGCTCAAGTCCAAAACTTAGATACTTGCCCAAAATGAACATTGAACCCCCAACCATTTGGTATATGGGAAAATGCTCCAACCACCTGATCTACATTGGCTAGGTATGTTTGTTGCAGTTTTAAATTAATCTACTTCTCGCCCTTGCCAGCTTCCTCAGTTGGTTAGAACATCGTCCAGATACATCCAGGTTGTGCATTCAATATTAAGTCAAGGCACATACAAGAATCAAGCCATGGATGCACGAATGGGTGCAACAACAAATCCATGCTTTCTCTCCCCTTCTCTCTCTCTCTTTCTCCCCTCCGCCACCCCCTGAGATCAATCAATAAAAATAAGTAAATAAAGTACTTCTCAGACCCTGTGGTCTGCCTTCTGTCTGGGAGAGGCTGGGGCTGGGGAATGTGTGCCTCTGCCCTTCTCCCCACTGCACTCTTCTTCCTCATCCCTCTGCCTGGGGTCACATCACCACCCTCACTCCCTCTCAGCAGAAACTGATTTCCTCCTTCCAGAGGTCCAGCCTCTCTCCCCTCTCCTCATTTGGATCATCGTCCTGGTTCTCCCCTCTCTCCCCTTCTTCTCTGCCATGTGTTGTTTGGCTTCTCCCCCACGGTCATTTTAGCAGCTATTACACAATAGTTGACTGGTATTCCGCTACCCAGGCCCAGTCCTTTTTCTGGGTCATTACCTCCCACTGCTACCACCACATGCTTGGACAACTCAGGCAGAACCTCCGCATTGTCCTCATTCCTCTTTAGCCCTCGCCTATCACTTCTCTCTCCTGGGTTTCAGTAGAAGGGTGGAGACAGAAGTTACAGCATAGCAACATTTTGCATAAAAAGGGGGACATGACTCTGTTCTGCTGACTCTATTACAACCAGGGGGAACTGCTCACAGGAAATTAGAAATGGATGGTAAAGTATAAAATGATTAAGAATTTCAGACAGCAACAGCACTAAGCATGAGGTGGGGGGTCGGCCTCTGGTACCACAGCCCCTGGCAAAGGTCACACATGCAGGCAGCCAGCCCTGGTCACACCTATGTACAGAGACTTGATTCCTTGATGTTATATACAGAGAAATTGTTTTCATTTAGGTTATCTGTCTTTCACTTAATAATTCTGCTGGATTTTTATTACCTAGAATACTTTGTCAGAGCTGAACAGTAGATTATTTCTACTATTTTGCACACAGGAAAAATATCGTCGTGAATTTTTAAAAACTTTTAAAAACCCGATTTAAATTAATTTTCAGAAGACAAATGTGCAGCTTTCAGTTCATTAGGGGCAACAGGATAATCTTCCATGGAAAATAACAGCATGGTTAACTGGGTTGAGTGCATATCACATCCAGGAAAGAAAAATAGTTGGGATATTTGATCCCATATGGAGGCAGAGTAGGGGGAAGCTACAATCTTCTCCTCCCAGGACCAAGCTGGAATTACAACTAAAATATAGAGCAAGCCACGTGAATAACTAACTGGAGAGTAGCTGAAGAGAAGTCTTACAGCCAAGGATTCGCTGCAGAAGCCCCATCAAGGCTGGTGGGAAGTGCGGAGACAAGAAGAGGGCTGGCCCCACTCCCAGGGCCAGGGCTGCAGCTCACATTCTGGAGGGATATCTCAGCTGTGGGGGGTTCCCTCTGATAAGCCTGGGAACTCAAGCCCAAGCTGGGCTCCCCAGCCCAGGGCACCAGCGCCTGCAAGAGGCACACACATAACATCTGACTGTGGAAAACTGTGGGGTTCTGTCCCCTAGTGAGAAACTCAAGTCCCCTAGAAAGGCAAACACACTCTTAAAGGGCCAACACACAAAATCTCTTTCACAGCCACTCACCCTGGGTCAAGCTGAGGGAGGGCAGAACACATTAGAGTTGTGTGAGAGGAGACTGGCATTTGTGGCTCTGGGGAGAGAGGTAAGGGAACTTCCACAGTGACCCCATGACCCCTGAGTCACTCTACCACCCTGCAGACAACATCTTTCTTGGGTGGCATCAGTCTGGGAGAAAGAAATACTCCACGCTCTGGACCCACCCTGTGGTACTTCCACTCTGCTATGAGTCAGTGGCCTGGGCCTGGGTGTAGATGTCTGGGCAGACCCAAGGAATGCCAATGACTGAGTTGTGTGGTTTAGGGGCAGGGGCCATTTCCCCCACTTTCCCATGGTCCTGACTGGTGCCTCTCCTTCAAGGTAGACCTGATAGCCCCATTCCCCTAGTTCTGGGTTGCCCTACCCTCTTAACTCTCTGTGGCTCCACCTTGCTCAGGTCTGGGCAGAATTCAGGAGAGTCTGAGTGGTGTGGTTCTGAGAAAGAAGTCACTTCCCCCAATTTCCCTCAAATCTAATGGGCACTTCAATCTCTCTTGACTCCCAATGATACCCTTGCTGAGATTGTGACATTATGGAGCTCATAGGCTGTTGAGGTGCGCAAAGCAATTATTAAAGAATCACAGGACTCAGTAGTGAGTAACATGGTTGGGGAAGCCTGCAGTGCTGCAGATACCTAAGGGAGGGATTCTCCCAGGTTAGGCATCAGGGCAGGTGTCTGGAAGGAGGTGAAACATAAGCTGGGGCCTCCCTGCACCTGAATATCACTGAAACAAGAGAGGCAGCAACTATTGCTGTTACAGTACTTCCTCTCTGGGCATTGTGTTCACAGTCCTTTGGATGCAGGATACCTGGAAGTTTGGGGGGTGATGGTGCTAAAGGACGGCCAATATAGCCAATGAACTAAGTCAAAAGTGTGTTTAACATCAGTATGTCAGACCTTCCCGGCCAATGCGGGTCAGTGGTTGAGCATCGACACATGCACCAAGAGGTTGCCAGTTCGATTCCTGGTCAGGGCACATGCCTAGGTTTTTGGCCTGATCCCCAGTTGGGGGCATGTAGGAGGTGGCCAGTTGATGTTCTCTCTCATCGATGTTTCTATCTTTCTCTCCCTCTTCCTATCTCTCTAAAAATCAATGAAAAATGTACTTTAAAAAATGTCAGACCTTATATTCTACAAGAATTCCCTATGAGGTCAATGACTTTGTAGAGCTTGTTGCCTCTTTTCAAACCTATTTAGTAACATCAATCTCAAAGCCTCCCCACTCAGGCACCTCTTCAATATGTAGGCAGAAAGACTGTCAATAGGATATATGAAAAAAACCTCCATGTGTATATCTTACTTATTTCACTTTATTTTTGTAATAATTCAACAGGTGAACTAAAGTGACATCACAATGAACAATTGTTTATTATGGTTATGTTTCTCTTCCTATTTCTTCTGTTAATTATAGCAGTCTTTTCAACATTCTTGCTGTGCTGGTTCAGTGCTAATATATTCCCTTAGCTTTTTTTTTTTTTTTTTTTTTTTTGGTCTGGGAAGCTCTTTATTTCACCTTCTGTTTAGAATGATAGCCTTGTCAGATGGAGTATCTTGGATTCAGATCCTTGTTTTTCATTACTTTGATTCTTATGCACTAATAATGAACTCGCAGAAGGACAAACCAAAAAAAAAAAAAATCCCATTTACCATTGTGGCAAAAAAGTTAAGATACCTAGGAATAAACTTAACCAAAGAACTAAAAGACCTATTTGCAGAAAACTACCGGATATTGAAAAAGGAAATAGAGGAATATAGAAAAAAAGTGAATACCTTGTTCATGGATTGAATGAATTAACATCAATAAAATGTCCACACTACCCAAAGAAATCTATAGATTCAATGCAATCCCCATTAAAATATCAATGAAATTTTTCATGGAACTGGAACAAAATCTTCAAAAGTTATAATGGAACCAAAGAAGACCCCAAATAACCACAGTGATCTTGATAAAGAAGAACAAATTAGAAGGGATCACAATACCAGATATCAGGTTATACTACAAAGACATTGTAATCAAAACATCCTGGTACTGGCACGAGAACAGGCAGATAGATCAATGGAACAGAACAGAGATCCCAGAAATTGACCCAAGACATTATACTCAATATTTGACAAAGGTGGCAAGAACATAACAATGAAATAAGACAGACTCTTTAATAAATGGTGTTGGGAAAATTGAACAGCTACATGCAAAAAAATGAAACTAGATTACAAACTTACTCTATACACAAGAATAAACTCAAAATAGATAAAATAATTAAATGTGACTCACAAATTCATAAAAAATCCTAGAAGAAAATGCAGGCAACAAAATTTCAGACATCACACACAGGAGAGTTTTCACTAATACAACTCCTAAGGCAAGAGAAACAAAGGGAAAAAAATTAAGACATGGGAGTACATCAAACTAAAACTCTTCTGCACAGCAAAAGAAACAACCACCAAAATGGAAAGGGAGCCCACTATATGAAAGAGCATAATTGCCAATGATACATCAGATAAGGAGTTAATTTCCAAAATATATAGAGTGCTCATACAACTCAACAAAAGGAAGACCAAGAGCCCGATTAAAAAATGGGCAGCGGACCTAAATAGACACCTCTCCAAACAGGACATACACATAAATGGCCAAGAGACATATGAAAAAAATGCTCAATTTCACT